CCTTATCCATATCCAGCAGCCCTGGACCCCCCCGTCCATATCCCACAGCCCCGGGTGCCCCCATCTGTATTGCACAGCTCCAGGTGCCCCTGTCCAAATCCCGCAGCCCCCGGGATCCATATCCCGCAGCCCTGGGTGCTCCCGTCCGTATCCCGCAGCCCTGAGTGTCCCCATCTGTATCCCGCAGCCCTGGGCATCCCCGTCTGTATCCTGCAGCCCTGAGTGTCCCCATCCCTATCCCACAGCTCCAGGCACCCCCGTCCATATCCCGCAGTCCTGGGTGCCCCTGTCCGTATCCCGCAGCCCTAGGCACCCTCATCCGTATCCCACAGCCCCGGGTACTCCCGTTTGTATCCCGCAGCGCTGGGTGCCCCCATCCCTATCCCACAGCTCCAGGCACCCCCGTCCATATCCCGCAGTCCTGGGTGCCCCTGTCCGTATCCCGCAGCCCTAGGCACCCTCATCCGTATCCCACAGCCCCGGGTACTCCCGTTTGTATCCCGCAGCGCTGGGTGCCCCCATCCCTATCCCACAGCTCCAGGCACCCCCGTCCATATCCCGCAGTCCTGGGTGCCCCTGTCCGTATCCCGCAGCCCTAGGCACCCTCATCCGTATCCCACAGCCCCGGGTACTCCCGTTTGTATCCCGCAGCGCTGGGTGCCCCCATCCCTATCCCACAGCTCCAGGCACCCCCGTCCATATCCCGCAGTCCTGGGTGCCCCTGTCCGTATCCCGCAGCCCTAGGCACCCTCATCCGTATCCCACAGCCCCGGGTACTCCCGTTTGTATCCCGCAGCGCTGGGTGCCCCCATCCCTATCCCACAGCTCCAGGCACCCCCGTCCATATCCCGCAGTCCTGGGTGCCCCTGTCCGTATCCCGCAGCCCTAGGCACCCTCATCCGTATCCCACAGCCCCGGGTACTCCCGTTTGTATCCCGCAGCGCTGGGTGCCCCCATCCCTATCCCACAGCTCCAGGCACCCCCGTCCATATCCCGCAGTCCTGGGTGCCCCTGTCCGTATCCCGCAGCCCTAGGCACCCTCATCCGTATCCCACAGCCCCGGGTACTCCCGTTTGTATCCCGCAGCGCTGGGTGCCCCCATCCCTATCCCACAGCTCCAGGCACCCCCGTCCATATCCCGCAGTCCTGGGTGCCCCTGTCCGTATCCCGCAGCCCTAGGCACCCTCATCCGTATCCCACAGCCCCGGGTACTCCCGTTTGTATCCCGCAGCGCTGGGTGCCCCCATCCCTATCCCACAGCTCCAGGCACCCCCGTCCATATCCCGCAGTCCTGGGTGCCCCTGTCCGTATCCCGCAGCCCTAGGCACCCTCATCCGTATCCCACAGCCCCGGGTACTCCCGTTTGTATCCCGCAGCGCTGGGTGCCCCCATCCCTATCCCACAGCTCCAGGCACCCCCGTCCATATCCCGCAGTCCTGGGTGCCCCTGTCCGTATCCCGCAGCCCTAGGCACCCTCATCCGTATCCCACAGCCCCGGGTACTCCCGTTTGTATCCCGCAGCGCTGGGTGCCCCCAGCTCAGCTCCACGGTGCAAAACATCCCCCAGGACCCCCAGGTGCTGCCCCCCAGCAGCTCAGCTCCACGGTGCAAAACATCCCCCGGGATCCCCAGGTGCTGCCCCCCAGCAGCTCAGCTCCATGGTGCAAAACATCCCCTGGGACCCCCAAGTGCTGCTCCCCAGCAGCTCAGGTCTGCAGTACAAAACATCCCCCGGGACCCCCAGGTGCTGCCCCCCAGCCTACCTGGG